CTACTGAGAAAAGTGTTAAGACACCTAGATTTGTTGACTATAGAAAGATTTTTATTTTGGTAGTTGCAGTATAGAAATAAAAATTATTTTGGAACCTCAGAGGCATAGCTAAATACAAGCTCTGCTGTTTGGCATAAGGGTATGGCATTATGTATAATAATTTCATTTAACAGAGAAGAAAGCATTTGGGTTTTGTTAATTGAGTAATGAGGAAGTAAAGCTTTGCAGTTTATTAAGTTATTTAATTATATGGTCAGAGTGAATCATAAGGTGTTTTGGAGTTGGGCATTTTGAAAAACGAGTGAGATTAAGTTGCTTTCATGCATGAGCATTTTGTCAAAAAACCTGCAGGTCCCTGTGCTTTTAGTGATGTGGTAAACATAAACACAATGTAACTGGAAGTTGTTTTATATCTAATGAATAGAATAAGGTATCCTAAATGCACCTTGATACATTAATTTAAATCAATCTTTAAAAGAGATGAACAATATACGAGGAGCTTGCTTAAATAGGTAATTGTTCTGTAATTTTCCACCATATTGTGCATCTGCAGTCATCTTGATTTATCAACCTAAGGCAGCTATGAGTGTGAAACATGTAACAAATTGTTATCAATATTTAAATTTGCAAGCTAAAGTATTATTAGCATTGCATCTTGGTTTCTGCCTGAGCAGGATTTGAAGCTTTCTGTAATATTTTCAGTATTTGATTAGAAATTGATGTGGTAAAAATAAAGTGGGTTAATTGAAGCCTTTTAATCTAATGTGACAGTCAGTAAAAATGTAAGTAAATGTTATTAGTATAGCAGTAATAATTCTGCCATTAACAGGAAGAAACTTGCCTTGGATTTCTGCGCCTTTTCTATTTCTATTCTGGGACTAGACAAGCTTAGAGGTTTGTGATACTCAGTAATTTATCTTTTTGTCTGCCCCGTGTATTTGCTGAGACAGAGTTTATAAGAGACATAAAAGATTACAGACATTTAGGGAAACCTCTTTGTTTTAGGAATCCTTAAACTAAATCTAAACCATCCTTTAGGCTTAAGAAGTTCCAGTTAAACCAAATTTGAAACTGGCAGAGCTCTTCACTTATCAGAGTTGGTCTCTTACATTGCTTAGCTTGCTTGAGCTTTCTAGACAAAATTATGTTTGCTAGTCTGTCAATTAGCTTCCTTTATTAGCAACTTTGATGCTAACAAACCCATGAAAATCAGTAGCACTTCTGTTCTCTTGTGTTTGCATTTCACCTAGAATAGTCACAACAGGATAAGAAGTAATTAAATATTCTGGTCATGCTTTGGACTAGAAGTATGTTGTTTTGATTGTCCTTTGCATAACCAAACATTGTGGATAGAAGCTGGATCAACCTTTGTTTCTCTTTTTGTACAGTACCTACCTAAGACAATTAGGCTCTGACCTGCAATGCAGTCACCTGACTTTCAACAAAATAAAGACATCATTTTATCTCTTAGGTGACTTAGCTACAGGACTATGAATGCATTAATGGGAGTTATATAATGAAGTTTCTTTTCCAGTTATGCAAACCTTGGCATTCTCATCCAATCTGCTCCATACTCATATTTTGAAACTCTACTGTCATTAAGTGTGCACCACAGTGAAATAATGCCATATGGGTATTGTTTTTACAGCATCCCTTGTCTAGAGATATATTTTATGATTGTGACTTACTGATATATTAAATATACATTATTTATTAGATTGAAGTATTCAGTAACTATGCATTAATCTGGTTGATATAAACCCAGTTTCAACAGCCATTGAAGAAGCCACGTAAAAGCCTGTCACTAAGTGGCAGAGAGAAGAGATGGTGCAAAGATTGTGTTGCCCACACATGTGTCTTGGTTATGATAATCTCTAAAGAAAGGAAAATGGAGAAGTTACTTTTGGTTCCATCAAATCCTTGACCTCTGAAAAGCCTGACACTAAGGGATTCAATTAGTGACAAGTGCAGTTGTAGGTTGAGTGATTCATCCCCATGTATTCAAATTTCACAATTCATACATAAGAATTACATCCATTTCTCTCACCTTTAGCATTCTTTAGGTGAAATTTTTGATTAACTTGCCTAATAATAAAAGGCTTGATTAGTCCTTGTCAGTGAGTGATTCACTGGGCTGTGGATCTGTCCATCCACTTTGGTCAGAGTCTTCTGAGCCCTTAAGACAATTTCAGTTAAATTGGCAAACTGGGGGTGATCACAAAAAATAAATGGCAAGTTTTGTGATTGAGCAGACAAGGAGAACTTTATTAGTGGGTTTGCTGTGTTCCTGTGAAAATCATGGAAAAGACATTCTGACAGTGGGGAAAGACTCAAGCAGACCTTGCAGTTGACCATAAGGTGCAAGGCTGGAGGAAACCAGGCTTCATTAATGTTGCATCATTCTGCAACAACTGCTTGGTTTTCTTTTCCTTTTTAAGTCTCATTATGGGAAGTGTCAGTAATGGACAGATACAGAGAGCTTGACTTTTAGGAATGTGGATGTTACCATCTCTTTGCTGCTGCTCTTGGGAGCCCAACCTGTCAAACACAGTGGTGAATGCAAAATAGATGAGCATGACAAAGTCCAGCCACATTTATTCGGGTGAAGTATTAGGATTTGCATGCTAGTATTAACATGTAGGGTCTTGGGCCCTTCCATCTCTTCTGAATACTTTTAGGTTATTCTACAAACTGTGGGTAAAAGCCACAGTTACACAGGAGATAGACCATGATATAAGAATCAGAATTATTGTATTCCAAATAATGGGGAAATTACCCCTTCCAGTAGGTTGATACAGCTTTTGTTGGTCAATAATTCTGCATTGCAATTTTTCTCTTGTTCCTCTTTGTGCAGAGGTGTAAAAAATGGAAGGTGACTCAGTATGGAACTGTCATTCCAACAGGAATCACTTCCTGCTTGTGTGTCTTCTGTGAGCTGTTGAATCACTGCCCAATTTTTGTGTCCCTGAAGAACATGCCCAAACAGCAGTGATTCAAGTAAGTGTTGGACCACAGCTGTTGTTGAGACCAGTTTACAAGAGTCAAGAGAGTTATGTCTGGAAAATTAACTTTCTGCTCACTTAAACCCGGGTGTTTTTTTGCTTTACAAGGGGTAATATTTCAGAGGGATAAGATACTGTGAGAAAACTAAATGGATGCAAAGTCAGTCTTGTCTCATGCTCCTGTTTCATCTTTCTTAGCTCTCTATAGCTTCTCCTAGGCCTTCTGAGCTTTTGATATTGTCTGCAGAATCAAGACCCGAGACCAAAAATTAACTTTCTCTTTACACAAGATGTACTTCAGAAATGAATTTAATACATGGCCCCTTCAAGAGTCCCAGAGGCAGTTACTGGTGACCTGGTCATGTGGTGCTGCCTACCTGAGTTTCTGTCAGTGCCTGGGCTCCTGTTGACAGGGTGTTTAAAACAGAATCTCCATAAATGGCATCTGGAGACTCCTAGGTAAGGGGCAATATCTTCTTTTGGTTCAGACACTGTGCTGTAGGAACAAGGGGGAAGGCTGCACAGAGGTTGTTTTGAGATTGTAGGGCTGTGCTTGGAATTCTGAAAGAGGATTTTACTGGGAGCTGTAGAAAAAGCACATGTGATTTTTAAAGAATACTATTTTAAATCTTTATTCTGCATTTATTTTGAAATGGAGAGTCATCCTGAATTTGAAACTGCCTTCTGCTTCGAGCTATTACAGTAATAACAGGGCAGGTTACCATATGTCTCCTAGCACTGAAGGTGTGCAGCTAATACATAGTCATATAGCTTGCTGAAAGTAATTTTTACAAAAATTTGGTATAACCAGGTCACTTTAGGTCACTATAAACAGTACAGTTAAACCACTGGATACTATTTTTTCTATTAATCTTCCTAGAAAAGCCTTTGTAATCCTAATTTTCTAGGCCATTAGGGTAAAGGCAGATTATAGCTAAAGCTGGTTTATTAACTTTACTCACCTTGGGTTTAACCAGCCCAGATCTTCTTTGTTAGGTGCCTACACCTGGAGTCTTTACTTTCATCAATAATCTTTCAAACTTGTTTTCTTACATTTAGGTCTGAGTATCCTTATGTTACCATGAAGTTAGATTGAGCTTCAGAGCTGGCCCTAGACTGAGCAGCGGGTTGGACCAGGACTTTTCCAGAGGTCCCTGCCAACCTCAGTTATTGCGAGTTTCTACCTTACGCCCTCTTCACAGCACGTAAGGCAAACTGCTTCACAAGTCCCAGTTTATTCACAGCACACTGCAGTGAAGTAGGAAGAGCATCCAAACTGTGTGGCTGAATCTTCTTCTGCCGCTTCACCTGTCAGTTGAGTGACATCACCCTGCACAGGTTCAGTCATTGGACTCCCACTTCAGGAGAGCATTTCTTGGGGCTGCCATGGATCAATCCCAAATTGCAAGGCACACGTCCCCACAGTGTGCAACAACGGATCAGCAGTTGCCTTTGGACGATGCAGGTGACGAGCCTGGTGCCTCCTAGGACCTGACGGGCAGAAGAATGGACAGGATCCTTTTCCCCATGGAAGCACTTGTCTTAATGACAGGAATCGTATTTTGGCACTGGCTTCATTTGCTCCTCAGCTCTCAGCTTCTGTCCACAGACCCCTTCAGACCGTTTCACTGCAGCCTCCCGGGAGGGGCGGCCAAACCAAGGCCATCCATCCCTCGTGTCCAAAGAGGCAGCGGCTGCACCCCTCGGGCAGCAGCGCACCCGCGCCGAGCCTCTGCGGGAGCCTTGCTCGGGCGCTCTCGGAAGGCCTTTCCCTGGAGCCTCGCGTGAAAGTTCACAAGCGGCGGGGCTCGGTCCCCGCCGCGGCTCCCGCGGGGCGCGAGTGGCGTGTCCGCGAGTGCCGGAGCCCGCCCGGCGTTTCGGCGCGGACCAGCAGATGGCGGCGCCGCCCCGGCTGGGCGCGCAGCCCCGCGCACGGCGCTGCCGCTGAGCCCCGCTCCGGTTACAGCCCTCCCCCGCCCCCGCCCTCCGCCGCGGTGTCTCCCTCCCTCCCCGCCACCTCCCCGCCTGTCACTACCACGCCGGAGAGCCACCATGGCGCACGGCGGGCCACGCGTGTCCGCCGCTGCCGCTCCGCGCGGGGCTGCCCGGCTGCCGCCGCCGCTGCTGCTGCTGCTGCTGCTGCTGCTGCTGCCGCCGCTGCTGGGCGCCGCCGCCGCTCCGCGCTGCGCGGAGCCCTGCGGCCGCCCGCGCCCTGTAGCCCTGACCCTCGGGGCGCGCAGCCCGCCGGAGCCGCGGCGCGGCGGCGGGGCGGCGGCGGGGAGCAGCCGCTCCAGGAGAGCATCCTTGGCGGCCGGCCGGGAGCAGGTCTCCCTCATCAGCACCTCCTTCGTGCTGAAAGGGGACGCGTCTCACAACCAGGCGATGGTGCACTGGACGGGCGAGAACAGCAGCGTGAGTACGAGGGGCCGTGCGGGCGGGGTTTAGGGTCCCTGCCCTTGCCGTTGCTTTGGTCTTCCAACTTGCGGAGAGCGACCCGCGCTCCGCTGGCCTCGGTGCGGCCGGTGCGCGCTGCTCCCGCCTCCCGCGGGCCGGCCCGGGGCGGGGGAGTCCCCGCGGGCAGCGCTCGGGTGCTGCGGACCGTGAGGTGCCGCCGGGAGGCGAAGCGCTGCCGTGGTCGGGCCGACCCCGGGTACCCCTCGCCACTTCCCCAGAAGTTTGGAAAGTTTGCGAGCGCGCATCTTTCAGAGGCGCCGGGTGCGCGGTGTGCGCCGCGCTGCGAGGAGGAGCAGCAGGAGGAGGGCGGCTGAACTCCGGACCGGCGAGACCGTGTCCGTGTGCGGTCGGCGTGCCCCCGGGTCTGTGCCAGGCTGTCCGGGTAAAGGACAGGCACGGACGAACTGCGCTGCGGGGATTATCTCCTCCAGCCCCGCATGAAGTCCCAGATTAAATTGTCGAGGCTTAATCGATTCACCGCGATTCAGTTATCCCCATGTAATCTCCCCCGCGCCGCGCTCTGCCTCCTCAAGCGCCGGGGAAAGAAAAGCCCGAAACAAGCCGTAAATGAAATAAAACGTAGCTCCGGGCTTGAGGTGATGTGAGCAGCAGGAGTGAGTGAGCGTAACGGCCGCGCCGGGCGCCGCAGGTGCGTAAGGACATCCTGCAAAGGTCCGGAATAGCAGCAGCTCTCCGAGGGGCTTTTGCAGCCACATCAGTGCATAAAAACCTTGCGCTGGGACCAGTGATACTGCATTAGAGCATCCGTGTTCACAACTTTTCACAGCTAAAGCAGTGTGTGTTGCCTTTATTGTTTAGCTGTTTTAGACAGCAACTCTAATGGTGGGTGCCGCTAGTATTTTTTAAACTAATTTTCAGTTTCAGCTAGTCTTCATTTCTTTATGTATTAATCCATGAATGGTTGTGTATTTGCACGGGTGGTTTCAGGGATTTGCTGCTTCTAATTTATTCTTCACTGAAACATTATATCATAACAGTGGGCGTCATGGGTAAATATTGCAAAGCACCTTGCACTGTCTGTGCAACTTCATAGTCAGGAAAATATCGTTATGAAAGCTTAAGATGAACTTTCTCCTGGAGGATTTTAGTGTTTCTGAAAAACTCCCGAGCATTTTAACTATGTTCAGCTAATCTCTGACTCTGCTTGAACTTTGTGAATTTAGTATAAAGTTTACTTAAAGTTGGCTCAGTTCAGAGTGTGTGTGTTATACTTCCCATAAGTATGTGAATGATCATCCTTTCTCTAGGACCTGAAGTCCTGGGTTTTTGCCTGTTTTGCTAGGGAGTCAGCCAGGATGTGGAGCTGCTAAGGCTCCACTGATGAGGATGCAGTGATTCCCTGGAGCATGCTGAGCGCTTATGTTAATGCTCTTGTATAATCGGGTGTCAGAGTTGAAGTCAGCATCATAAAGCTTGACACTTTCAAAGGCAGTTTTTTGATTTGCTCAGGAAGGAAGTGTAAGATGATGGTCATTTTCTGTGAAAAGAAAGTGTTGAAAATCAGCATCATCAGCTATTCTGATTCTGTCCTTCCTCCATTTCTCTGCTATTAGACAGCTGCTGTTTTTTGTGGGCAGTGCTTGCAGGCTGTTAGGACAGCTTCCTTGAAGAATTCAGTATTAAAAAGTTGGCATAAGTTCATTTTTTGACATAGAAGGCAAGTAACAGCTTTGATGCAAAGCATTCTGCACTTTGAAATGAATATAGTAGAACCTTGCTAATCCACAGTTATGACTAGCGGTCTCGCCTCGCCTCTCTGCAAAGATTTAATAACAGATGCTGCAGTGAGGGCTTGTATTGCTAAAATGTTATTATTTTTTCACAGTATGCTACAGCTCCCTACTAGAATACTACCACATAGTCTCTTCAAAAGCAAAGATAAATGGCAACTGTCAGAAGAAATGAAAGTGGTTACAGTATTTGCTGCAACTTAGCTGTTTTTTTTGTTTTCTTAGTTGCTATCTACTAATTCAGTATTGCAGAAGGATACACTCATCATGAATGCCTGCAGACATTCTGTACATTATTTATACATTCAATAAAAAATACTCTTACAAAGTTCCTTACAAAGTATGATGCTTACTCTGTCTGCCATCAGCTGATTACTGTCAAGCAAGGCAGTATTTGAACAAGTGACCTGTTAATGAAAGACTTTGCTGCCTTAACCCAAATGAAAGCAGCCAGTCTTTGCACTGGATGTTTTACAGTATGACTGTCAGCATTTTTTTCAGCTTTTCTTGTTAGTTGGATTTGTTTTATTGCATGCTTGCAGAAGAAGAGCTGATTTTAACAAAGGCTTCCAGAGAAAAATGATTTGTAAAGACAACACATAGAATATTTCTTTTTTTCTTTATGTTTTTAAGGAGTGGAAGAAATACATTGATCTCAAAGGAAACAGGATGGGCTCCAGAGGATTGGAGAGAATTTTGCTGTATGTTATATTCAAACAATTGAAAATAAGCACCTGATCTCAGACATATTTAAAGTAGTCTTGAATGTCTATTTCTTTAAGTAGATATGTTTGTATTTATTTATATTACTCTGGGTTGTTTGGAGATAGGGACGCTATGATCCAGTGCTTCTCAAATCTGCCACCTTTTTCTGTGTTCTTAAATCTGTGGCAAGTTTTTCCTTGTCTTGGAAGCACAGGCTTGAGTCTTGAATCTCTCTTCTGTCACAGGTGCATTGCAGCCAAGGGGAGGGGCTGTCATTCCTGCAGTGGGGTTTTGGATCAGGCCATGGAACCTCAGGAGGCACTCAGCAATCTGAAAGCGTCACCACACACATTTGGCACCTCATTGGAGGCACTCAGCACTTTGTAAACCAAGGAGCTAAACTAGTTTCTTTACCCTTTACAGCTGTGTGGCTGAAAATTTGACAGTGATGAGCTCCAGATGACCACACATCCTCTTAAACACCTCACCTAGTAAAATAAATGAAGAAGAAATATGCAATAGGATTATTCCTTTGAGCTCCATGATGAAGAGATAAATAACTATAAAAGCAGAGGGGGCAGCTGCATCCCTCAGGGATGATCACCTGCATGAACAGTTCATTGAAAGTGCTGCCATGGAGTACTTGGGTGTAGATCAAGGGCAAATACATAAATGTGAGAGGAGCAGAGGTTAGGTTGATGTGCACATGGAGTTTTAAAAAAATAATTTGCATTGTATAAATCATCCTGTCCTGCAGTACTAGGAGCATGAGATTTTTGGTTGCATGAGATCTCTTGAGAGAAACTAGGGAGGCTATAAATTAAATTGATCCTCTCTCTTCCCTCTTTTCTGTATTGTAGAAGTCTGATGCTTAGTTACTATCCTCTTGTAATGCTGTTAGTTTGGTGAGCTAGAGGAATGGTGTCTTTGATGGCAAAGCAGAAGATGTGGTTGCATGGATTGTAAAGTGGGCATGAATCACTGGGAAGATCAGGACACAATTCCTTGCTTTGTAAAGAGAGAGCTGTACTGGGAGATAGGCAAATTGCTTCTGGCTTTGTGTCCTCATTACTTTATTCTGTAGTCTAATAATTATTTACAAATCCTATGAACAAGAAGCATGTCCCCAACCTTTCTTTACAGCGGGATGTATAGTCAAAACCATCACTGGTGATGTAGGTCTTGCGAAGCCAGTACTTGTCACAGCAAGAATGTATCTGGTTAGTGAATTCCTGCAATTAGTATTTCTGCTCTCCGTCCCCTCTGCCCACAGAAAGCTGTTGTGTGGTCTTACTTTCAAACAAAGGCTCATGCAAGTGGAACTGATTTTCCTGCCAGTCTTAAAATATCATAAACTGAAGACATGGCAGGTGGGTGGTGCAACACACCATTTACTGTGGGAACAGCAAGTAATTGCCATCCGTGTAACTGATAAATAACACTGAGAATTGGAATATATACAGGTAGCATGCTAAAAGAATAGCCCTTAGTGTGTTAAGCTAAATAGCATGAACCCAGATTTACTAAAAATATGCAAGCCTTTCTGATCTGGGGCAAAAGTAGTCAATTCATGACAGCTTTTAAAAATCCTACTTTTCCTTTGGAGAGACCTTAGTCATCCCAGGAGCTTTTTTTTTTTTTTTTTTTTTGGTGCTCGATAAGCAACTTTGTTTTTAAAACTATATTCTTTTTGACCCTTCTGAAGAATTCCCATTCTGCATTCATACTAGCCAATTTAAAAAAAAAAATCAAAGCCGAAGCAGAAATAGGGGGAGAATGAGACTCATATTTACAGTTGATTTTGATTCAGGGGCTGCTCTTCATGCTGTGTGCAGACTGCTTAAATAGTGTGAGCAGGACTTTGGCCAGCTACTTCCAAGTCTGCAGTTTCATGGTGCCAGTATTTCATTTTTTTGTTTGTTGTCAAAATATTAAGTCCATGCAGACACCTATTTGTCCAGTAACTTGATGTCATGATCTCCCATAAACATGTTTGTTATGGAAAATAAATATAAATATGCACATAATTTTTTTGGAGTCCTTAAAAGCATTGACTTACCAAAAAGAAAGATTTATTGCACATCTACAGATATTGCTACACACGAAAACTTACAGACTTGTATATATTTGATATACAGATATTTTGTTTAATTTAGAAGCTTTTTCTTTTTTATACAGTTTCACCATTATGATTTGTAGAGGCTAGTGGTCACTACATGTATTCTTCTGGCAGATATTTTATCTAAGTAGTTCTCTGTTTTGTTCAGTTGCAATCAGTTGTGAGGAAAACTATAAAAAGCATTGACTTCAACATTACTGTAGCAGTACCTGTAATGGTAAGTGTAGTTATCTATGCAAACATGGGCTGAAGTCCGTTTCTGGTAAGGTTTGGGTGGTGTTTCTGCAGAGTAGTCAGACTACATTTTATGAAACTAAAGGGAGCATGAGGTCAAAAATCCTGACAGCTCAGACCTTTGATAAATGGCAGATATATTGCAAAGT